GGGGGCCCCGGAGGGGTCCCCACAGGCCTTGCCAGCGCCAAGGGAGCCTCTGGGGGGCCCCCTGAACCCTCTGCCACCTGCTGCGGGGGGGCCCCCTCCACGGCGGGGGGACCCTCGGGGGGGGCCCCCAGGGGGGCTTCCAGGGGGGCCCCCATGGGGGGGGCCCCCGCCAGGGGGGCCCCCGCCAGCAAACGGGACTTGTATTTTCTGTAGGAGGCGAAGTCCTCAGGGTTTCTCCAGTGTTTGCATTTGTAGGTGGAGACAGAAATTAGGGTTTCTCGTTGAGGAGGGTTTGCGGGCTGCTGCTTAGGGTTTGGGGTTTTGCCCAAACCCTTTTTTGGGGTTTTTGGCTTGTGGGTGCGAGCCAAGACGTAAAAGAAATTCCCATTCTTCTTCTGCTCCGCCATCCACTTCTTCAAAGCCGCCACCGTCGGAAACCGCAGCTGCCCGCAAACCCTAAACCCTAAACCCTAAACCCTAAACAGGAAGCTCTTGCCGCTGCGGTGTTCGAGGGTGTTGAGCTACGGCTTAGATCTCCACAGAAGGTACACGGCTTAAGACGAGGGTTTAGGGTTTAGGGAGAGGCTTTGAGGCGAGGGCTCAGGGTTTGGAAAAAGAAATTAGGGTTTAGGGTCTAGGGTTTAGAGCAAGGGTTTAGGGCTTCAAGAAATGATGAGGCAAATGAAGATGGGTTCTACAGCTGGGCCTTGGGCTTCAAGGCATAAAGCTTAGCGTTTAGGGTTTAGGGATTAGGGTTTACGCCTTGAGACTCAGGGTTTAGGGTTTACGGTTTTGGGCGGACTTCGTTTGGAGACACCTGAATGGCCTCTTCAGAGACCGGCTTCTCTGCAGCTTCCTCCATTGTGACGCTGCTGCTGCTGCTGCTGCTGCTGCTGTTGCTGCTGCAGCTGCTGTTGCTGCTGTTTCTGCTGCGCCTCCTGCTGCTGCTACCCTGCTGAAGCTGCAGCGACAGAGACCGCAACAAGCTCTTGGCGTCTCAGGCAGCAGGCTCCGAACTCTAAACCCTAAACCCTAAACCCTAAACCCTAATTTCTCACTAATGAACCCTAGGAAGGAAGATGCAGTGCTGCGCCTTCGAAAGCTTCGCAGGCTGGGCTCCCCGTGCCGGTAATAGACGGCCTAGGGTTTAGGGTTTTGGGTTTAGGGTTTAGGGTTTAGGTCAGGGAAGGGCATTTCCAGGTTTGTCCATGTATGTTAAATATTTGAAAAAAATCCAAAACTTGGCAAGGGTTTAGGTTTCAGGTCTTGCCTTTTAGGATTTAGGGTTTAGGGCTTAGGGTTTATGCCTAGGGTTTAGGGTTTGGCGGGTCTCGATTGCTGGGCCATGCCCACATGCGTTCTTGTATGAGGCACCTACACTCTAAACCCTAAACCCTAAGCCCTAAACCCTAATCCCTGAATCCTAAATTCTAATGTTTAATTTCTTGGAATAAGCTTAAAAGGCCCAGATAAACCCCAAACCCTAAACGCTAAACGCTAAACCCTGAACGTGCCTTAGGGGAGCAGTCGGCCCCTGTGCGTTGAGCTTGCAAGCCGGAACCCCTGAACCCTAAACCCTAAACCCTAAACCCTAACCTCTAAACCCTAAACCCTAAACTCTAAACCCTTAACTCCAAGGATCCTCTTCAAAAGCAATGGATTAAACTTTGCTTCACAAAGCTCGCCAGCGATGCACATTGGTTGAGGTGTACAAACGCTGCGGCAGCAGCAGCAGCAGCAGCAACAGCCTCACAGCAGCAGCAGCGCCCGAGCAGCAGCCAGCCCAGACGTTGCTGCAGCAGGAGCAGCAACACAAGCAACAGCGGTGCGGCAGCGAGGCAGCCAACAGCAGCAGCAGCAGCCACAGCAGCAGCAGCAACAACCAAAGCAGCAGCACCACCAAAAAACCCAGCCTACTCTCTATATGGCCGTAGGGGGGCCCCGACAGACTGGGGGCCCCTCATGGGGGCCCCCAGCCATCCCCAGGGGCCCCCGGGGGCCCCAGGGGCCCCAGGGGGCCCCTGGGGAGCTGAAGGCCTCGGGGGCCCCAGGGAACCCTCGGGCCCTTGGCGGGCCCCTTTTAGTATTTGGGTATCCAAGGGAAGTATCCCATGAAGAGTTATTTCATTGTCATAGGTGGTCTGAGGCCCCCGCAGCAGCAGCAGCAGCAGCGGCAGGAAAAAAGGCGTCAGCAGCAGCAGCAGCAGCAGCAGTAGCAGCAGGGGAGTGGCTTCCTCCTCGTCTGATACGCTGCAGAGACACCGCAGCGGTGCTGCTGCAGCAGCAGCAGCTGCAGCAGCAGGGCTGGGACATCAGCAGCAGCAGAGCGCAGCAAGAGTTGTTTGCTGCAGCAGCGGACAGCAACAGGGGGGCGCTGTGGGGCCCCTACATACCTGCGCCGCACTTACACTACTCCCCTAGCAGCAGCAGCAGCAGCAGCTGCAGCAGCAGAAGCAACTTCGTGGCTTATTTGCTGCCGCTGAGGGCAAACGAATGGGTGGCGGTCCGCAGGGCGGTTTGGTTCAGAGTTTTGAGGTGAAGCCCTAAACCCTAAACCCTAAACCCTAATTTCTGTTCTGCTGCTTGGGCCGCAGCTTTTGCTTGACATAGAACAGTTACTTTCTGAGACCTTAGTGCATCTAAGAAGCCTCCCCCTGAGCCCTAATTTCGCTGCTGCTGCTGCTGTGGCTGCTGCTGCTGCCCTTGCTGCTGCTGCTGCTGCTGCTCTCAGGGGCCTAGCTGAATGTCGGGGCCATTTGTTTCCCCCAAGTGTCTCCTACAGCTTAGTGGCTGCTGAGGGCCCTGCGGCTCCTAGTGTCTCCTCGTGGGCCCCCACCCACAGCAGCAGCAGCAGCAGCAGCAGTAGCAGCAGCGGCTGCTGCAGCAGCGACTTGCGCAGCGGCACCGTTGCTGCTGGGGCCCCCGGCATCCGCATCACTGCGCTGCCGGGTCCTGATATTTTCGGAGACCTTCCCCAGCAGCAGCAGCAGCAGCAGCAGCAGCAGCAAGACGCTGCAGTTGCTGCTGCGTTTCTGGAGGACTTCACCTCCGCTCGTTTTGCTGCTCTTGCTTTTCTGGACAGTTTTGACTGCGGAAGGTGAGGGTTTTGTTTTATTTGTTTTTACATCCTTGCAATTTATTTATTTAATAATTTAAATTGTTCCTTTGCTGCTCCCTTGCTGCTGCTTCCGTGCTGCTTAGCTGCTGCTGCTTCGCCTTTCCTTGTTACAATTTGCTTCCAGTTTAACCCATTTCTTTGCTGCTGCTGCATCAGCTGCCGCTTTTTCTTCTGCTGCTGCTGCTTTCTTTTGCTTCTTTCCTCCGAAATCCGAGCTGTTTGCCGCACCCACAAATAGATTTGCAGCAGCAGCAGCTGCTGCTGCAGCAGCAGCAACAGCGGGCGTAGGTGCATGCGGTGTGGGGCTGCTGCTGCAGGCACTTGGGCTGTATAGACACTTCGGGGGGCCCCCAGGGGCCCCTCGCCTCTTCGGGGGCCCCCGCGGCGCTGCGGCTGCTGCAGCTAGACAACAGGCTGCAGCAAAACTCTTTGGTGACGCAAGAAGTGCAGCAGCTGCTCGATGGGATAGATGAACAGGTTTGCTGCTGCTGCTGCTGCTGCTGCTGCTGTTGCGGCTGCTGCGGCGGCTGCGGCTGCTGCGGATTTGCTGTGGTGGCTGGCCTGTTGCCTCTTTGCTGCTGCTGCTGCTGCTGCCCCTGATGCTGCGCCGTTGCTGTTGCTGCTGCTGCTGCTTCTGCTGCTGCAGGAGTTCCCTGTGGTGCTGCTGCTATGTGAAGTGCGGCTGCCCTGGGATCGGATCCCACTGCAGCAAGCTTTACGCGCTGCTGCTGCTCCTGCTGCTTTGCTGCTGGAGGCCCCAACACCCCTTGAAGTTGTTCCGCCCATCTGGTGCCAATAAACCCTAAACCCTAAACTCTAAACCGTAAACCCTAAACCCTAGTTTTCCACGAAAGGGCCCCCATGCAGGTGCAGCTGCGCTTCGGAGATACTGAAGCAAAGCAGCGCGTGCAACTCAGAATGAATATGTTCGTTGCTGCTGCTGCCGTTGTTCTTGCTGCTGCTGCTGCTGCTGCCGTGTTTCTTGCTGCTGCTCCTGCTGCAGGTGGGCCGTGGCTTCCCAGCTAACGCGTCTGTTCGCCCGCATTAAAGCCAGCAGGCGAGACCCAGATGCAGCAGTAGCAGCAGCAGAGAGCAGCAGCAGCAGCAGTTGCTGCTGCTGCTGCTGCTGCTGCTGCTGCTGCAGGCAGCTGCAGCCCACAGTGGTACTCTGGGGCGGCAAAGGGAGCGGCAAGTCCTCTTTGGTTTCTTTTCTGATGAACTACTGCCTTAACTTCTTCCCCAAAGTGGGGTTTAGGGTTAAGGGTTTAGGGTTTGGGGTTTAGGGTTTAGGGTTTGGGGTTTGAGGTCAAGGGTTTAAGGGTCAGGGTCTGCTGTGGGGTTTAAAGTTGGGGCGCTTTTTAATCTTGAGCAGCAGCAACAACAACAGCAGCAGCAGGAGTGGCAGCAGCAGGGGCAGCAATTGTAGCACAGCCAGCAGCCACAGAAACAGCAGCAGCAGCAGCAGCATCAGCAGCAAGTTGTGCTGCGCCTCAGGTGTATCTGCTGGACGCCGATGTGGGGCAGCCAATTTGCTGCGCTCCTGGAAGTGTCTCTCTTCTCTCCGTGAGCAGCAGCAGCAGCAGCAGCGAAGCCAATTAGTCTCTTTTGCTGCTGTAGTCTCTTCGCTTTTGTCTCTTTGCTGTTGCTTCTGCTGCTGCTACTGCTGCTGCTGCTGCTGCTGTCACGGACCGAGATGCCTACAAACCCTTCTTTGTCTGTGCACGCATTGCTCGTTTCTGCAGAAGTGCTGCATTTTGCATTTCATATGTATATAGTTTTTTTTGTTATGAAGCGCATGCAGCTGCCGCTGCTGCTGCTGCTGCTGCTGCTGCTGCACGTCATTTCCAGTGTTTGTGTTGAAGCGTGCCCTCTGGCTTTTCTCCTTAGGTCTCTTCTCCCATCCTGACACCTCCCCACCTTCTTATAAATTCCGTGCAGTCCCAAGGGGGCCCCCAAGGGGCCCCTCAGGGGGGCCCCCCAGGGGCCCCTGTAGGGGCACCCAAAGGGGCCCCTGAGGGGTTCACCACAGGGGCCCCTGAACAAGAACCCACCAATTCACTTTTAGGGGGCCCTCGAGGGTACCCCAGAGATGCTTCCCCCTGTCCCCTCATGGGGGGCCCCCCAGAGGGGGCCCCTCCTTTAGGGGCCCCTAAGGGGGCCCCTGGGGGGACTCCCTTAGGGGGGCCCCTAGAGGTTAACGGGGGCCCCCTAGGGGGCCCCCCTGAGGAGCAGGAAGTGTATGAGGTACTTTGTGCTTCGCTGTCTCCTGAGGTGCTTGTGGTGGACGGAGACACGCAGCAGCAGCAGGAGCAAGAGCAACAGCAGCAGCAGCAGCAGCAGCAGCAGCAGCAGCAGCAGGTCGGGTTCAAGCTGCTGCGGCAGGTCTTCTTCGGAGATGTCAATCCCAAGTCGGCGCCCCACAGATACTTGCGGTGTATAGACACCTGCTTTGCTGCCTACGAGGCGATCAGCTGCGGCAGAAAACAGTCCCCACAGAGCTCAGCAGCAGCAGCAGCAGCAGCAGAAGCTGCAGCAGCAGAAGAGGGGATGGCAGCAGCAGCACCACCTGAGCGGCATGTGCCGCTGCTGCAGGCCGCGGGACAGGAAACGTGCGAGTGCAGCAGCAGCAGCAGCTGCTGCTGCTGCTGCAGCAGCAGCAATGGTGCAGCCGCTTGGGCTCCCCTTTTTGTTAATTCTCCAGGGTGGACAGTAGGCCTGGGGCAGCGTTTGCTGCCGCTGCTGCTGCAGCGCAGCAGCTGCTGCTCCTGCTTGCTGCTAGAAGAGGACCCTGAGGGGCCGCTGCTGCGGCAGCTGCTGCAGGATGCGGGAGTAGAGACAGTGCAGCTCCAGCAGCAGCAGCAGCAGCAAATGTTGCAGCAGCAGCAGCACGATGAGGGGCAAGAGCAACAGCTGCTGCAGCAGCAGCAGGAAGAAACCGCTGAAGTGGTTGCCTCCGAACCTCGTCCCAGAAAGCGGAAGGAAGCAACGGCAACGGCAGCAACAGCAGCAACAGCAGCAACAGCAGCAGCAGCAACAACGACAGTAAACAATACAGCTTTATCGGCGGCCCGGAATAAGAGAACCAGAACAACACCTGCTCCTTCAAGCAGCGGCAGCAGCGCAGCGCCAGCAGCAGCAGTGGCAGCAGCAACAGCAACAGAATCAGGCACAGCACCAGCAGCAGCAGAATCGGAAACCGCGGCAGCAGCACCAACAACAACAGAAGCAGCAGCAGTTGCAGCAGCAGCAGAAACAGAAACAGCAGCAGCAGCAGCAGATTGGACGAAGGAAGTGAGGTGTATATACACTGCACTCTTTCCGGGCACCTTTCGCTACGTGCGGCTGCCCCACGACCCCCCATGGTGCAGCAGCAGCAGCAGCAGCAGCAGCAGCGGTAGCAGCGGCAGCAGCAAGGAGGTGACTTCGATCGCAGAAATGCTGCGACAGAACAACCAACAGGAGACTCCGTTCAAGACGTGAGAAGGGGCTCTAGGGTTTAGAGTTTAGGGTCTAAGGTTTAGGGTTTGGGGTTTAGGGTTTGGGGTTTAAAATTGTGGACTCGGGGCCTACGGTTTAGGGTTCGAGACTTCGAACTGCTGCAGCTCATGTGAGGAAGCCGCGCGTCGGCCTTCCTGTTTTTGCGTTTATGGTTTAGCTTTTATGGTTTGGGGTTTAGGGTTTCGGGTTTAGGGTTTAGGGTTTGTTTGCAGGAGCGAGGAGTTCTTTCTGCCTCAGTCTTCGAGCCTCTGCGGCCTCTCGATAATTTCTCTTCCTTCATTTCGTCTGCTGCAGCATCGCGTCCTTGCTGTAGCAGCAGAGCATTTAGCCTGGCAGCAGCAGCAACAGCAGCAGCAGCAGCAGCAGCAGCAGTTGCAAGTCCTTTACGGCAGCGGGCCCCTTGTGGATGCCCCCAAGAGGAATGGTCTAAAGTTCGCCAGGTGCAGCAGCTGCCGCTGCTTTGCGCTGCCTCCCAGCAGCAGCAGCAGCAGCAGCAGCAGCAGCAGAAAGGGGTGTTTGTCGAGTGTGGATTGCTGCTTATTGGAGACATCTGGTTTGTCTCTTTTCCTTTATTCTTTCTTTTCCTTTTTCTGTGCATGTCCTTCTCCGGGCCCTGTCCCCTCCTCGTTAAGGTGGCTGCGAATTGCTGCGCTGCTGCTGCAGCAGCAGCAGCTGCTGCTGCAGCAGCTGCTGCGCCCGAAGCCTCAGGAGCAGCAGCACTACCTTGCTGTCTCCCTCAGGTCCTGGCAGCAACTCTGTGCCCTTTTGCCCACAGAGCGTCCTCTTGTCTTACTGCTGCCCCTCCAGCAGCAGCAGCAGCAGCGGCAGCAGCAGCAGCGGCGGCAGCAGCAGCAGCAAAAGCTGAACTGCCAGGAGGAGGAGGAGCAGCAGCGGCAGCAGCACAAGCAGCAGCAGCAACTGGTTGCTCAGACGCTGCCCCTAAGCGATGCAGATCTGTCGTGGGAGTCGTTTTTGCTGCCGCTGCAGCAGCAGCTGCTGCTGCAGCCACAGCAGCAGCAGCAAGAACAGCTGCTGCTGCAGCCGTCCTTTACTGTGGTTTCTCTGAAGCTGCAGCAACTTCAAATTGCTCTGCCGCAGCTGCCACCGCAGGAATTTATCCCTTCCTTGGCTGTTCAGGTGAGAGCAGCAGCAGCAGCAGTAGTAGCAGCAGGAACAGCAGCACAAGTAGTGGCAGCAGCAGTGGCAGCAGCGCAAGTAGCAGCGACAACTGCAGCAGGAGCAGCATAAGGAGCCTAAGCTTTTCATTGGCGCTGTCTTAGCGGGATTGTAGCTGCTCTTGATTCCTCCCGGGCTCAATCTTGCTGCCGCTGCTGCTGCTGCTGCTGCTGTTCATTCAGCTGCTGCAGGCTCTGCCGCGCGCCACTGTCGCCTTGGCTTGGGATCCGACTAGCGTGAGCTGCAGCAAACCCCTCCGAAGCAGCAGCAAGAGCAGCAGCAGCAGCAGCAGCAGCAGCCGCTGCTGCTGCTGCTGCGTCTCCTGCGTTGAGTCCCGTCGGGTGTCTGTACACCTCACAGCCAACGACTCCCACCTCCACCAAATTTCCCTCGCCTTTATTCTCCACGTAAATCCCCAAACAGCAACAGTAAGACATTTCCTACAAACATAGCCTTTATGGGGCCCCCTAGGGGCTCCCCAGGGGCCCCCCAGGGCTCCCATTGGGGCCCCATAGGGGCCCCATAGAGGCTCCATAGGGGCCCCATAGGGGCCCCACAGAGGCCCCATAGGGGCCCCATAGGGGCCCCATAGCGGCCCCTTAGGGGCTTTATAGGGGTTCCACAAAATTCTCACTGGGGCCCCTGCGGGGCCCCACAGCGGCCCCGTAGGGGCCCAATAGGGGCCCCACAAAAGCCCCATAGGGGCTTCACGGGAGCCCCATGGAGGCCCCATGGGGGCCCCATGGGGGCCCCACAAGGTCCCATGGGAAATATTTTAGGGCCCCCAAGGGGGCCCCTGAATTCTCAGAGGTTTCTCTCTTGCGCGATACGAGCGGGTTGCAAAAAGGAAAAGGAGCTGCTGCTGGTATTGCTGCTGCTGCTGTTGGTGCTGCTGCTGTTGCTGCTGCTGCTGCTGCTGCATGCGCCGATGGTGAATGTGCAGTTTGCTGCAGGCAGTGGCGCTTGTTCCTGCTGCTTTTTGCAGCGCAGCAGCTCTCAGCAAGTGCAACACAGTCATCCTGAGGTGAGGGTTTAGATTCCAGAAAATTAGGGTTTAGGGTTTAGGGTTTAGGGACCACGCTCAGCAAACTAGGGTTTCGGATCTAGGGCTTGAGGGCAGTAAACTAGGGTTTGGGGTTTAGGGTTAGGGGGGTTCTCTGCGTTCTTTAGCCGCCTGTCTTGACGCTAAACCCTAAACCCTAATTTGTGGTTTTGGGCTGCAGCGAGGGTTTGCGCTTCTCGCCGCAGCTGCCTCACGCTCGCCATTTGCGGGGGGCGCAAGCAAAGCAACTGGCAGCAGCAGAAACAGCAGCAGCAGCAGCAGCAGCAGCAGATGCAGCAGCAGCAGCTGCTGCTCAAGCGGGGGGCCTTGTGCTGTGTATAGAAAACCCAGCAGCAGCTACCGGGGTGTCTCTACACTGCAGCAAAAGAGGCACTGGGGGGCCCCCAGGCTGCTGCAGCAGCAGCAGCAGCAGCAGCAGCAGCTGGGGGTCCCCCGGCAACAGCAACCAGGGGCCCTCAGTTAGCTGCTACCCGTGGTGTCTCCTTCCTGCTTTAAGCCGCTGCACCTCTGCTGCTTTTCCTGAGCCTCCTACTCCAGCAGCAGCAGCAGCAGCAGCAGCTGCTGCTGCTGCAGCAGGGGAGCAGCGAAGCAAGATGAACAGCACCGTGGGCGGCGGAGAAATAGAAAGAGCAGCAGCAGCAGCAGCTGCTGCTGCTGCTGCTGCCGCAGATAGTCTAGGTGTTGCTGAGGCTGCGGCAGTTATGGAGGGGCTCAGCGCTTCTGCTGCTGCTGCCCCGTCTGCTGCAGCGGCAGCAGCAGCAGCTTCTGCTGCTGCTGCTGCTACTGCTCTGCCGTCTCTCGAGCTGTGCAGCCGCAGCAGTAAAACTCTCTTTCGCAGCTCCCCCTACCTCGCCCTCCTCAGCGGCAACAGCGACAGCAGCAGCAGCAGCAGCAGCAGCAGCATCAGCTGGGGCCGCCGCAGGTCCACCCGGAGGAACCTGCAGCGCTTTGCTGCTAAGATAAGGCCCGACGGGACTCACGCGAGAAATGAATAGATTTAATTATTTATTTATTTTAATTAATTAATTATTTTACTTTATTTATTTATTTATTTTATTTAATTAATTAATTGAGAGAAATAAATAAATAAATGGAAACGCGCAGCAGCAAGGTAGTGCTGGCGTGGGTGGGCCAAAAAGCTCTTCCTTCTTTCAAACATTTTAATTTCCTTTTCGTTTAAATATTTTATTTATTATATTTGTTTATTTTATTATTATTTATTGTTTATTATTTATTTATTATTTATTATTTATTTATTATTAATTATTTATTTCATTTATCCGCAACAGCTGAGCCAAACGCCCTAGCAGATCAAAAGCTCAATTTCAAAATTCTTTTTAATTGTCTCCTTTTTATTTATTTAATTTATCTCTTCCTTTATTTGTTTCTTTTTGTCTTTTTAATTGTCCCCTTTTGCCTTTTAAATTGTCCCCTTTCGTCTTCTAAATTCTCGCTTTTTCTTTCTTTCTTTGTTCCTTTTCTGTTTCATTTTGTCCCCATTTCGGCTTTTCTATTCTCCCATTTTATCTCCTTTTGGTCATTTCATTCGTCTTCTCTTTTGTTTTAGTTTGTCTCCTCTTTGTCTTTTTCTTTGTCTCCCTTTTGTTCTTTTATTTTTTTTTCGTCTTTCTTTTTTGTTTTTTCGGCCCCTTTATTTTATTTATTTGGTTATTCTTCTTTTTGTCACTTCAATTTTCTCTTAATGCCTCCCAAAATGTATTTTTTGTTGTTTTCCTTTCCTTCTAATTTCCTTTTGTCTCTCTATTCTTTCTATTTATTGTTTCCTTAATGTCTCCTTATTGTTTCTTTCTTGCTTTTTCCTTTAATTCTCTTTTGTTCTTTGTTTGCACCTCTGCCCCAAACCCTAAACCCTAAACCCTCGTTGCGCGCAAACGACCCGCAGGGACTGGAGGCACCTAATGCTGTTGCTGCTGCTGCTGCTGCTGTTGCTGCTCTATTTTCCAGGTCATAAAAGAAACAAGAAATAAATCTAAAAAGAAGCAGACCCTCTTCCCTTTAAGGAACGAGGGTTTAGGGTTTAGGGTTTAGGGTTCAGAGTGCTTCGTGCGCGTGTTGGCTCTCGCGCTGCAACTCAGCGTCCAAGCCTCCTTCAGCGCCCAGGGCCCTGACGCAGGGCCTAGAGCTTAGGGTTTAGGGTTTAGGGTTTAGACGTCCCAGAAGATGGGTTTAATGGAGTTTCTTTTGCTCTTTTTGAGTCTCGCGTTGTTCAGCTGGATTTGCGTTTTGCGGTGAAGACGGCAGAAGCGCAAATAGTCTGTTGCAGTCGCTGTTTCTATACCCTGAACAAATATATAAATGAATAAATAAATTAATTAATTAATTGATTAATTAATAATAAATAAATTAGTAAGAATGGCTGCGGAACTGCGGCGATGGGGCTGCGGGAGGAGTCCGCCGCCCCCGGCGCGCCAAACCCTAAACCCTAAACCCTAAACCCTAGGCTCACTTTGCCGTAAAGAAACACCAGCGCCAGCTCCCCGTAGCCCTTGGGCTTATTGTGGAGGCCCCAGAGCCACTTGGGGTAGAATTTATCTTCTAGCAATTTGTGGTCTTCATTTATTTCTTTATAAATATTAAAAACATGATCGTACCCTCCTTTTATCCCCTCGCCCCCTTCCTGGGCCCCGGGGGCCCCCCCTGGGGGTCCCCCAGGTGCCCCCCCAGTACCCTTTTTCTTCTTAGGGGCAAACAAACGAACCTTCGATGTATGCATGCAGCTCAGCCGCCGCTGGGAACAGCTAAAAGGCCCCAAAGACCCACAGGGGGGCCCCTGCGGGGGGCCCCCGCGCTGGGGGCCCCCCTGGGAGAGGGGGCCCCCGGGGGCCCCCGGGGCCCCTGGTTTGGCCGCAGGGGGGCCCCCAAGGGCACACTGCTGGGTTCGGGAAAAGCGGAGGGGCCCCAGGGTCGCAGCTGCAGCGCTACACAGCCAAATGCGTCTCTGAGATGCCGCAGGGACTTGCGGGGGGGGCCCCAAGGGGCCCCCAACTCGTAGGGGGCCCCCAAGGCGCAGGGGGCCCCCAAAGGCCAGGGGTCCCCCAACGGCCAGGGGGCCCCCAAGGCCCAGGGGGCCCCCAAAGCAAGGGCGCGCGAAGGCGACAAGAAGAAAGGCAGAAGCCATAAGGAGAGAAGTGGGGAAGTTGAGCCTCAGCGCTGCGCCATGTTGAGGTGTACGTACACCTGAACAGTGCGGCTGCGAGCGCCGGGGGTGGCGGCGCAGGTCGAGGCGTGAAATCGGGAAAAGACAAAGAAAAAAGAATAAATTAAATAAAATAAAGTGGAAATTTGCGTTTGTTTGGGGCCAGGGGAAGCGGGAGGCGAGGGGCCCTTGCCGGTCGTGTGTACATAAGCGCAGTGTACATACACCTGAAATCCAGCGCCCGCAACCCACGGGCGAGGCTCCTTCTACTTAAAACTGCCGCAGGTGTTTGTTGCGAGTTTCTAAAATAAAATATTAATGCAAAAAAAAATTCAGTGATGCGATTAGATGCGGCCTGCGTCGGTGCTTTCGAGCCCAAACCCAAACCCTAAACCCTAAACCCTAAACCCTCGCCGCAGCCGTTGCTGGTCCACCGGCAGCAGCTGGGCCTCTCTGCCGTTGAACCCGAGTCTATATTTCCTTTTGTCAATTATTTGCATTAATTTGTGTGCATTTTGTTATTTTAATTTCTGCCGCAGTTGTCACTGCCGAGGCGCCGCGAAGGTTTGGCTGGTGAGGTGTATGTACACCCGAGCTTCAGCTGTCCCAGCAGCAGCAGAGTCTTCCTTCCTCACGGACTCTTTTCCTTCCTTTATTCCTTTATTTCAGTAGATTCAAGAATATCCGCTACTGCCCAAACCTCCAACACTAAACCCTAAACCCTAAGCCCTCAAAATGTTCTCCTGCTGCTGCGCCGATACTGCCGCCCGCGGCGACCTCCAGACGGAGGAAAAGGCTGAGGCTTTGGAGGGGACCCAGGGGCCCCAAGGAGCCTCGGCGTCAGCAGCAGCAGCAGCTCCAGCAGCAGCAGCAGCTCCAGCAGCAGCAGCAGCAGACGCACAGGGCGACAGCAGCAGCAGCAGCAGCAGCCAACCCCAGGACAACCAGACCACCCCTGCAGCAGCAGCACCAGCAGCAAATGATGCCCCAGTAGGAACGGGACACAAGTGGGAACCCCCAGCAGTTACGAAAGAAGAGGCTCCAGTCAAAAAGCCCATGACGGTGAACCCTAAACCCCAAACCCTAAACCCTAAACCGTAAAGGCCTGTCTATTATATAAAATCATGTCACTCAGAACAACGCTGCTGCATTCCACAGCATAGAAAGCTCAGGGGGTTGGTGAGAAAGTTCCATATCTCAGGGTTTCGGGTTTAGGGTTTGGGGTATAGGGTTTAGGGTTTAGGGTTTAGGGCTTTTGCACCGCAGGCCCCAACTTCGCAACGCGCAAGGCGTACCTCGGTCCCGCTTGAGGCTCCCATAGAGGACGGCGTGTTCCTTATGTAAACCCTAAACCCTAAACCCTAAACTGCTGGCGCTAAACCCTAAACCCTAGACCTGGCTCTTTCTTCGCTTCCAGCGCTCCTTGAGCAACGTCCTGGAGGCTGCGCCTTTGGCTCCGAGAGACAACGCCAACCCTAAACCCTAAACCCTAAACCCTAATTTTGTCCGCAGGTACGACAAAAGCACCGACACCATCTACGCGCAGTGGAGCACAAGTCCCCAACTAAATGCTTTGGCCTGGCTCAAACCCCTAGTGGCAATCCCGGGACATAAATATAAAGTCAACGGAGGGAGACAAACCCTTTTTACAAAGGCCGTGGTGAGGGTTTAGGGTTTAGGGTTTGGGGTTTGGGGTTTAGGGTTTAGGGGTAGGGTTGGGCTCAAGCCCTTAGTGGCAATTCGGGGGCACAAATATAAAGCCAGTGGAGGGAGACAAACCCTCTTCACAAAGGCTGTGGTGAGTGTTTAGGGTTTAGGGTTTGGAGTGGTGTTCAGGAAAGCAACCGTTTTTGCGAGGGTTTCGTGAAGTTCATAACAATTGCAAATGAATATCCCTCGAAGATGATGCTGCTGGAGAACTTCGAGGCAGCGGAGGCGCCGGGCGTGCAGGTGCTGCTGCTGATCGCTGCTGCTACTGCTGCTGCTGCAGCAGCAGAGTCGCAGTGCGTCGTGCAGCCCCTGGACTGCTACAACAAACTCTACGACTTCAAAAACACTAAAGCTGTTGCTGTTGTGCCCCTCAGCAGCACTCTAATTCCTTTAAATGAAGCTGTGGGGCCCCAGAAGTTTTTGCAAATGGGCCGTGGAGAAGGTGCTGCTGCAACAATTCAAATTCCGAAATGAGTGCTGCGAACCCGAAAAACCTTAATTGCTGCTCCTTGCCGCCTTAAATACTTACTTTGGACGGAATTTTCATTTTATTTCGTTTAATTCAATTAATTTAAAATGTTTCGCGCAAAAATTCCGCCAAATTCCACCAAAATTCGCAAATTTCCACTTCGCCGACGCAGCGAACACGCCGCGCCGAGGTGTACGTACACCCCAGCGCACTGCTTTTTTTCCCCACTTTCGGAAAGCAAATAAAACTAATGGGCATTTTAAGTGGAAATAAAAACAAATAAAGAAGTAAATTAAATAGTTGTCTTTTTAAATAGTTTGGGACAAATGCAAAGGCAAATAAAAGCAAACAAATCCCAAAAGTTCACTGCACAAGAGACCAGCGAAGTAGTGCTGCTGCTGCTGCTGTTGCTGCATTTGCTGCTGCTGCTGCACCTGTTGTTGCTTAGGCTTGTAAGCCCCAAGATGTTGCTGCTGCAGTTGAGTGCACGCCAGGAACTTTTGCTGCAGCAGCTGCTGCTTCAGTCGCTGCTGCAACCCCTGCTGCGGTTACTGCTTCAGTTGCTGGTTCATTTGTGCAGCAGCTGCTGCAGCAGCCGCTGCAGCAGCTGCTGCTGCAGCTGTTTATCTACCTCAGTATCTGCCTGTACGCTGCTGCCTCGGCCCTCGTTGTCTTCTCTCTCCCTAACTGCAGCTAGCTACGGCTTGCTGCAGCTAGCTACGGCTTGCTGCAGCTAGCTACGGCTTGCTGCAGCTAGCTACAGCTTGCTGCAGCTGCCTACGACAGTCTGTGGCTAGCTGCAGCTAGCGATGGCCAGCTGTGGCTAGCTGTGGACACCTGGAGCTAGCTGTAGCACCAGCTGTGGCTGGGTAGGGCCGGCTGGAGCTAGCTGTGGCTAGCTGTGGTTGGTTGTGGCTAGCTGTGGCTAGCTAGGGAGGGCTGTAGCTAGCAATGGTTAGCTAGGGCCGGCAATGGCTAGCTATGGCTAGCTGTGGCTAGCTGTGGCAAGGCGCTGGCTAGCTAGCTATGGCTAGCTAGGGCCTGCTGAAGTTGCCTGTCAGGCCAGCTTGGGCTAGCTAGCTGTGGCTAGCTGTAGCAAGGCCCTAGCTAGCTAGTTGTGGCTAGCCGCAGCTAGCTAGCCAGGGCCAGCCACAGCCAGCTACCTGTGGCTAGCCAAGGCTAGCTAGATATAGCTAGCCACGGCTAGCTAGGCTGCAGCTAGCTAGCTAGCTGCAGCAAGCAACAGCTACCCAGCTAGCTGTGGCTCCAGGGAACTGTGGCTAGCAGCAACCCTCCGGGAGTAGCTGCGGCAGGGCTTTGAGCGTTTGAAGCCTACTGAGAAGGGGTTGGAGTCTAGGGTTTAGGGTTTAGGGTTTAGGGTTTAGGATTTGGGATTTAGGGTCAGGGTTTGGGGATTAGGGTCTAGGGTTTAGGGCTCAAGGGCTGCTACGGGTTAGGGCACCAGTTTTGGTGGTCGTCTCAAGTTGCTGCTGTAAAGGGTTTGGTTGAGATTAAAGAAGAAAGCAGTTGAAACCGTAAACCCTAAACCCTAAACCCTAAACCCTAGGCCCCGAAGCATCGGGAGCGGTTCGGTGCGCGGCGGCACCGCCGCATCTTCTGTTGTGCATTAGGGTTTATTTAAAGTTTGCGTTTAAATATATAATAATTTTTGAGGCGAAGCGTAAACCCTAAACCCTAAACCCTAGACCCTAGAGGTCAAACGGCAGGCCGAGGCTGGGGAAGCGGAGAGGCCGACGCGCCTGCATGCGCAGGAGGGGTTTAGGGTTTAGGGTTTAGGGTTTGGGAGCCCTGTAGGGACTGGGGTTTGGGTGGAGCGTATATTTTTGCTGTTGTATAAAAAAGTGGTTTACAGTTTTTAAGGGTTTACGGGCTTGCGGAGGGGCGTTTGTGAACCCTAAACCCTAAACCCTAAACCCTAGAGCGTGTTCCTAGGGTTTGCGCGGGCGCTGCGGCTTTGGGTTTGCGAGGCCCGGTGGCCTGCGGCTTGGCGGAGCCGCAGCAAACCCTAAACCCTAAACCCTCGTGGAAACCCTAAACCCTCGTGGTCGTTCGCAGCGGTGTCGCGTGTCCGGGTGCTGGAGGGGACCGCGAGGCGCAGCGCCGAAGCCCCAAACCCTAAACCCTAAACCCTAAACCCTCGCGCGGGTGCTGAGCGGATGGCGGCGCCGTACGCTGCAGAGGCGGGCGAGAGCGGCGGCTCCGGCGGCCCGACAGCCGCTGCTGCTGCTGCTGCTGCTGCTGCTGCTGCGGGGGCGCCTGCTGCAGCAGCAGCAGCAGCAGCTGCGCAGCTGCTTTCGCCGGCCAACCTCGCCGCAGCAGCCAGGTGTCTGTACACCCGAATCGACTCCTTCTCCGGAGAGTTCAAGTTCCTTTCTTTGGACTTTCCTTCCATCATTTATTTTCAAGGAAGGTTTTTTGCTTCTGCGCGCCACGCGCTGCTGGCAGCAAAACACCCTGCTGCAGTCGAAACCCTCGCCAACGTCCCCGACACCAAAACCCTCAAGCAGCTCGCCAAAACCAAACAGGCCCGCCCCAAACCCTAAACCCTAAACCCTAAACCCTCCCCTCGCCCGCACCCCACTGCCCCGCACTTTCCGCCCTTTAGGCGGCCCAAACACCCCGCACGCGGCCAAAATTGCAAACCCTAAACCCTAGACCCTAAACCCTTCAGATGTTCCCAGGGCTCAAACCCACAAACCCTAAACCCTTTTCGGGGGCGGCCCGCAACCGCCGCAGCAAACGCCCAGCAGCTCCTCACAGAGTCACCCCTTAGCCCTTGGGATTGGGGTTTAGGGTTTAGGGTTTAGGGTTTAGGGTTTGGCGCAGGAAGACCCCGACTGGCCGCGCTACCGCCTAAAATGGATGGAGCTGATTCAGAGAGACAAGTTTCGAAGGAATCCAGGTGTACATACACCTCAACAAACCCTAAACCCTCGCCAACAATCCCTACACGCCTGGGCCCGGCCTAGGGTTTAGGGTTTAGGGTTTAGGGTTTAGGGTTTCGGGTTTTGTTTGTTTTATTTTGTCGTTGCTGTTTTTGCTAGTGTTTCGATTTGGGGTTGTGAACCCTAAACCCTAAACCCTCGTGTTTGGCTGGCGCGTGTGCGGCTTCTCCGGGAAGCCGTGCGGAGCCGTAAACCCTAAACCCTAATTTAGGGTTTGCGCGCAGAGCTGCGGGAAAAGCTGAAGCAGACGGGGGGCAGGGAGCTCGTTTGGCTAAACACTGGAGATGCTTTCTTTGGGCAAACAAGTCACTCGAGAGGACAAAACCATTTGGGGAGAATTTTAATGGAAATAAGACAAAACATTCTCGAAGACACGGAGCTCGAGTGTAGGGTTTAGGGTTTAGGGTTTAGGGTTTGGGGTTTAGGGTTTGGGCTTTGGGGTTTGGGGTGGGGGGAGGAAGGAAAAGAAGGGGCAGCCTGTCGCGGTTCGAGAGGGCTAATTCACGGCTGGGTCGAGCGTTTAGGGTTTAGGGCTTAGGGTTTAGGGTTTAGGGTTTAGGTTTTGCTGCGCGCAGGGAAGCTGGCAGACAACGACTTGGTAGCGCTAAACCCTTCTGTCTCCAGGCGCCATGCAGCTTTGGTGGTTTTGAAAGGGGGACATGTCCTTTTGATTGACTTGAAGAGCAAAGCAAAGACGTTCAAGTCAGCTAGGGTTTAGGGTTTAGGGTTTAGGTTTTAGGGTTTGGGGGTCGCGGGTCGCGGGTCGCGGGCCGTGCTGGGTGGGGTTAGGAAGCGCTTGCGGGGCTCTCCTGCAGCTTGTGAGTGTCTGGGGCGCCAGGGTCTAGGGTTTAGGGTTTAGGGTTTAGGGTTTAGGGTTTAGGGTTTGGGGTTTTGCGCTGGCAGGAACGGCATGCCTCTAGACCACGACCACGTGGGCGTGCAGATGCAAACCAACGACAGCTTCAGTTTGGGCGCGTCTAGCCGTCACTACCTCCTTGAGGTGACCTAGGGTTTAGGGTTTAGGGTTTGGGATTTGGGGTTTAGGGTTTGGGATTTGGGGTTTAGGGTTTAGGGTTTGGGGTGGCGTTGGCTGCAGGTCGTGCCTGCTTACTTGCGCCTTGAACGCATGCAGCCTCGCAGAGCCTGCAAGGCAGTCACCCGCCTGAGGGTTCAGGGTTTAGGGTTTAGGGTTTAGGGTTCAGGATTTAGGGTTTGCGTGCAGATCGACACCACTTCCGTGGTGGATTACCTCCAGCGGCGCGGCAGAGAGCTGAACAGAGAAATTAATTTATTAAATGATCAAGTCAGCGAAGCAGCAGGAATGTCGACTAAGAGTCTCACTAAGGTGAGCCAAACCCTAAACCCTAAACCCCAAACCCTTGTGGCGGCCGCGGCGCTGAAGACAGCGGCCTATCAAAGCAGCCTGTAAAGCGGCTCTAGGGTTTAGGGTCTAGGGTTTAGGGTTTAGGGTTTACAAGTTGGTTGGAAGCCGCGTCTGTGGCTGCGGGCGGGGACCCCAAAGCGCAAACCCTAAACCCTAAACCCTAATTTGTGGTTTGGCGCAGGTGTTTGTGGGGGGCCTCGCCTACAGCACCAGCCGCTACGACTTGTGTGAACTTTTCGCGGAAGTGGGAAATATAAAATCTATTATTATTCCCCAAGTCGACAGATCCATTCCCCCAGACTATGAAGGTGCTGCGGCTGCTGCTGCTGCTGCTGCTGCTGGTCTTGCTGCTGTTGTTGTTGCTGCTGCTGGTCTTGCTGCTACTGCTGCAGCTGCTGCTGGTGTTGCCATAAACACTCCTCAAGTCAGAAGACCCAGATTCCCTGACTACGAAGCTGCTGCTGCTGCTGCTGGCTTTGTTGCTGCTGCTGCTGCTGACTTTGCTGCTGCTGCTGCTGCTGGCTTTGCTGCTGCTGCTGCTGCTGCTGCTGACGCAGCACCTTTCCCGAAGCCGGATTTTGTCGCGTTTGCTTGGCAAAATGAGCAAATGAATGGACTAATTGAATCAATTAATAAAATGAATTAAATAATCAATTGATTTAATTAAATAATTAATTAATTTAATTAATTTAATTAATTATTTGCTCAGGAGCTTATTCCGTGAGGGGAATTGCCTTCGTCGAATTCGGAGATGCCGAGACAGCCAAAAAAGCCCTCCAGTGTGACGGCCGTCTTGTCAATGGGCGAACTGTGGCGGTAATTAATTTAATTAATTTAATTAATTTAATTTAATAAATTTGAATTAATTCATTTAATTGAATTCATTTAATTCAATTTAATTCGTTTAATTCAATCAATTTGCTTCAGTTTGGTGGTAATTGTTTAATTCGGTTTAGTTGGTTTGGGTTTTAATTTCCTGTTTGATGTTTGCCTATTTTGCAATATTCAATTATTTAGTTTAATTTAACTATTTAATTTGATTTAATTTAGTTTAAGTTAATCTGATTTAATTCGTTTTAATTTAATTTTAGTTTGATTGGCTTATTCATTTATTTGTTGTCTGTCTTACTTTTAGTTTTTTGATTTGTCTGTTATTTGATTTGATTTTGTTTGTCGCAGTTTGGTTTGATTTAATCACGTTTTATTGTTTCATTTTATTTAATTTATTAATGACATTTCATTTTATTTTCATTTACTTCAATTTAACTTAATTTCATTCTTTGTCGGAGTGTGTTGTTAACCGCTTGTTTAGGGTCTAGGGTTTAGGGTTTGAGTGATTTTTACTTTCAAACTGCAATTTAATTTAACTTCTAGTTTTGCTATTTTCTAAAATTTTGGCTTGGAGTGATTTATTGGAAGATCCATTTTATGTGATTCTCTTTGCTTTTTATGTATTTTTTGACTAATTAGTTAATTGATTCATCAATTAATTGAATCATCAAGTAATTAGTAATCGGTTAATTAACTAATTAATCAAGTGCTCGATTAATTAATTAATTAACTTATTAATTAATTAACTAATTAATTGACAAACTAATTAATATCTAGTGCATCGTTAGAATCTCACTATTTAATCTTTCATTTTTAATTCTACAGTTGTTTATCTATTCTTCTAGTTCATATCCAAGTAATTAATTTATTTTAATTAATCTATTATCTTTTCTTTATTTTATTTATTTCTTGAAGTGAAACTTCAAGAAATAAATAAGGAACCGAAGCTTCTTGGGGGTGGCCCCAGTGAACTATTATTTTTATTTATTTATTTTATTCATTTCAAGTAATTAATTAATTAATCTCGTATTTCTTTTATTATTTAAATTTATTTATTTTTATTTATTTATTTATTATTTGTTTTGTTTCCAAAGGTGACCCCGGCGAATTTGACGCGAGAGGAAAGAGCAGCAAAAGAAGAACTTATGGTGTGTCTTTTTATTTTCTTTTTATTATTTCATTATTTATTTATTTCATTATTTATTTATTTCATTATTTATTTATTTATTTATTTACTTATTTTATGTACTCATTTTGTTTCTTTTATTTGTTTTATCATTTTATGTATTCATTTAGTTTATTTTATTTATTTTGTCAATTTGTGTTTTATGTATTTTATTCACTTTATCTTTTTATCTTTTTTATTTGTTTTCGCCCTTCTGGACTTACGTGCTTCATTGGCTTTTTCTTCTTTTAATTTCTTTCATTTGTTTCTTCCTTTTATTTCTTTTATTTATTTCTTTTATTTGTTTCTTTTATTTATTTTACTTGTTATTTTATTTGCTCCTTTTATTTGCTTCTTTTATTTCTTTCGTTTAGTTCTTCCCTGTATTTCTTTTATTTATTTCTTTTATTTCTTTTATTTCTTTCTTTTATTTCTTCCTTGACATGCATTTTTTATTCTATTCGCCACTTGAGTCTTTCGTTGTCTTTTTTATTTTTTCTCTCTATCTATTTTGTTTGTTTTTCATTTTATTCGTTAATTTGTTTATTTAACTTGTTTATTTTATTTGTCCATTTTATTTGTGTATTTTATTTTTTGTTTGCTCTTTTTTATTTCATTTGTCTCTTCGCTTTGTCTTTTTTGTCTCTTCTCTATTAGTGTCTTCGACTCGTTTACTGCTGCTGCTGCAGCTACTGCTGCTGCTGCTGCTACTAATACTGCTGCTGCTACTATTGCTGCTGCAGCCACTACCCTCGCTGCTGCTGCTGGCACTACTGCTGCTGCCACCGCTGCCGCTGCTTCTACAACTACCACTACTGTGCTGCTGCTGCCACTACTAATCCTGTGCTGCTGCTGCTGCTGCTGCTGCAGGCTGAGGGGGAAATGAACTTTGTTGCTGCAACGGAGAAGACATTTGAGCACCCGACGCACGGGTCTTTGCGGACAGGCCACGGGCTGGAGGACTCTGGTGCTGCTGCTGGGGGTGCTGCTGCTGCTGCTGCTGCTGCGCTGCTGCAGCAAGCCGACCCCCTCACCGGAGAACCCCGCGGCAGCAAAGCAAGGGGACACTGGGGCCACGACGACAGAGCAGCAGAGCAGCAAGGAAGGAGACAGTTTACAAACGCTGAAATGCGGCGGCTGCAGGGGGACTGGCAGCAGCAGCAGCAGCAGCAGCAGCAGCAGCACGGCGGCGGCTTGCGCTCCGAGGCCGAGGGCGCCCGCGAGGCGCGCTTCGCCGCTGCTGCTGCTGCTGCCAGCAGCAGCAGCAGCAGCAGGAACATGTACACTGGGGAGTGGGGCCCCACAGAAAATGACAAAAAGGAGAGACACAGGAGAAGCCGCAGCAGAAGCAACGAAAGAAGGAGACACAAAAGCAGCAAAAGAGACAGGGACTAGACTTTCCAGTTATATCTCTAAGACCTTTTATTTTTCTACACGGTAGTCTCTCTTTCCTCGCAGCAAACGCGCAGCAGCAGCAGCAGCAGCAGCAACGGCGGCAGCGGCAGCGGGAGGGAAGAGCTGCAGCTGGTGCTGCTGCTCGCCTGCTGCAGCGGGATGCAGCAGAAGCAGCAGCAAAAGCAGCAACAGCAGCAGCTGCTGCTGCTGCCGCGTGTCGAGCTGCAGGGGCATACGTCGGGAAGTGTTGAACACCTAGTACCTAGGATTTAGGGTTTAGGGTTTAGGGTTTAGGGTTTGTTTTGGCGATGTCCTGTCCCTTGTCTTTTCTCCGTAAACTCATTTTCCATTTTGTTTTTATTAGTCTTCTTGTCTCATTTGAATTTTTATTTTTTATTATTGAATATAATTGCACGCCTTTGCCGATCTGGATATCACGACGCGCCAAACTAGGGTTTAGGGTTTAGGGTTTAGGGTTTAGGGCTGCAGCGCGAAACGCTCTCACTCACGCTAGGGTTTAGGGTTTAGGGTTTCGGGATTAGGGTTTAGGCCCTAAACCTTAGGCCACTGAGCGTTGTGTCTCGAACAAACCCTAAACCGTAATGCGAAACCGCCGACTCCAAAGACAGTAGCTGAGGAAACTCTTGAGAACATCTAGGGTTTAGGGTTTAGGGCTACAGCTTTCGGGTGTAGGTGCCTAGGGTTTGGAGGTAGTGCTCCAGGGTTTAGGGCTTAGGGTTTGGGCTCAATACTTCAGCCCTAAGGTTTTAGAATATACATTTTTTGTCCTCAGGGTGTAGGGTTTAGGGTTTAGGGTTTCGGGCTTGTTTTACTTGGGGGGGGAAGAGTCGGCGGAGGGTTTGATTGGTTAATGAAATAAACATTTGGCAAAATGTTTGAGTTTGAAAATAAAATTTATAAAGTTAATTTGAATTAGAAGCTAAGTAGAAAGCAAAGAATGTGGCAGTTAATTATCTAAATAAGCAGGTAAGTGGCAGTCTGGTAGGGGTCGGGTGGAATTTTTGAAGATCTTTTCATCAAAATGAGCTTTAAATGCATCTATTTGTCGATTCGTTCACTTTATTTATTAAAATGTAATATTCAAATTATTTATTTTTGTGTTTATTTCGTTTCTTCCGCATTCTTTGTCTGTTTTCGCCGCAGTGCCCGGTGGTGCACCCCAATGGTCAGGCGGCTGTCTCAGCGCAATTTTAGGGCGGAAACAGCGGGAAAAAAAGGAGAAAATAACTTGAAATGTGCATTAAAAGGTTAAAATAAATTAGAAAAAGGAAAAGAATAAAAATTGGTTTCATTTCAGTTTTAATTTCGCGCGTCGAAGCTGCTCGGGTGTACGTGCAGTGCGCCAGGTGTATGCGCAGGTGGAGCAGTTCGCGTTTCAGACTTCGTTTTCGCTCATTTTTTGTTCTTTTTTCTTCGTTTTTTCGCGATTTTGCAAGCCTTGAGAATGGCAGAGACTGAGTGGACTCCGGAGGCGCTTTCTGGGCGTTACGAGGAGATAAAAAGCTGCATTCCGCAGCAGCTGGAGGCTTACGCGCGGTTTCTGCGCGAGGCCGCGCCGGAAGACCTCCGCCGCTGGCAACAAATTGCGCAAGATTTAAAACTTGAATTGAATTTAGAAAACGGAAGAATAAAATACAAAAAAGAATTCAAACCACTGGAGCTTCCCGTGGACATTTGCTACATCCGCCACGGCAAGACGCAGGGCAACACGGAGCCCCGGGTTTTTCAGGTTTGCTGCTGCTGCTGCACTTTTCGCCTTTTTACCCAAATAAATAAACGGAAGTACCATTTTAAATGTTCCTTTTTTAATTTAATGTTCTAGAAAGTCCTTTTTGCGCGAAAAGCACCTAAAATAATGCATATTTGACACTGAGAGCAGCAATTACATTGAATTCGAAGAGCAAAACTCCCTTTTAAAGATCTTTATTTGCTTTATTTGAAGTAAAAGAGGCAAAAGGGAAGAAAGAAGAATGGAAATGGGGAATTAAATGAAGGAATTAAGGGAAAGAAGTTTGAAAAAGAAATTAAAAGAAATTGAAAAGAAATTAACTTTTGAATTTTTTTCAGGGCCAGGTGGACTACGCAAACAACCAGCTGACGCAGCAGGGGCAGCAGCAAGCAGCAGCAGCAGCAACAAAACTAGAAGCAATGGCAGCAGCAAAAGAATTCATTCCGGATTTGCTGCTGTCTTCTCCGCTGCTGCGAGCAGTCCACACGGCGCAGCCCTTCGTAGACGCAAACCCTAAACCCCTTTTTAGGGTTTTGCCAGAACTCGCGGAAATGGCGTTCGGGGAATGGGACAACAGAAAGGCCAGAAACACTTTCTAGGCTTTTGCTTCTTCACTTTCTTTGAAATCTTTTTTATTTATTTTATTTATTTATTTTCAATTTAAATTTAAATGTTTTTTGTTCAATTGATTTATTTCAAAATTCAAATCCCTCTTCTTCGCCAAAGTCCAATTCTTTGAATCTTTTTAGTTTTTTATTTTTTATTTATTTTGTCTTTTACTATATCTTTTATTTGTTTTACTTTTACTTCCTTTTATTAATTCTTTAATTTATTTGGAGCTGTTTTGTTCATTTATTATTTTACTTATTATTACACATTATTTTATTTTTCAGTTTCGTTGTTCGCTTATTTATTTATTTTGTTTACCTATTTATTTATTTATTTATTTATTTAGTGTATTATTTATTTATTTATTCATCCATTCATTTGCGTGTCTTTCTTGCACATGTCATTCATTTGTTTATTGCTAAATTTATTTGTTTATTTCCCAATCAATTAAACAGCCAATAATTCAAAAAAATTAAATGATAATAATAGACAAATGAATGAATAAATAAAAAAATTACCAATCTATGTTTGTTTACTTATCTATTTATTTGTCCTTTTAAATAAATGCCACAAATGCCATTTAATCGTCAAAATGGATTTTGTGAAAATCCCGAAAAGTCCATTTGGTGTCGAGTGCTTGGAGTGTACGTACACCTCAGAAGATTAGAAAAAAGTTGTTTTTGCGTTTTTCGGAGTTTGAAAATGCGAAAGAAAAGTACCTTTTATAAATGCATATTAGCTGGTTTTAATTGAATTTGGGGCGCAAAAGTCTTTAAATAATGCAGAAATTGAAAGTTATATAACTAGAAATGCATTTAAATGGAATTTGGAGAGAAAAAAAGCCAAAATGGTCCAAAAGTTTCTGCAAAATGCCCTTTTGCAGGTGGCAGAACTCGAAAAAGATGACCCCGCGCATTTGTTTTACTTGCAACAAAATGCTGTTATTAAGGCGAAAGGGCCCCACAGGATTTGCTGCCAACTTTGGCAAAGTCCCGAGTGGCTCGAGGGGAAAAAAGAAGTAAATTCTAATTCTCCAAAATGCCAAAATTAAGCCCTTTTGCTGTTTGCAAAAGAACTATTAAAGGGCCCTTTTCTTCAATCAATCAATTTAAATTAATTCACCAAGTGCTTTTTAACGGGGGGTCTTTTGCCTTTAATCAATTAATTGGAATTAATTCGATAAGTGCCTTTTCACGGGGGATTTTTGTCTTTATCAAAAAGGCGTTTGAATAATTAATTTAAATTAATTGATTAAAGGGCCTTTTGTTTTCAATCAATTAATTTAAATTAATTCGTTAAGTGCTTTTTAACTGAGGGAGCAGAACTGGAGAGAAAAAGCAGAAAGGGCGGGAACAAATCTGAATTTCTTATTGGGTCTTTGGAGCGGGGAGGGTTCTGTTCAGATTTTTTTTTGCATTTTGATGCATTTTGTTTCTATTTGGCTTTAAATGATTTAATTTGTAATTTATAATTCATAAATTCATCTAATTTGCCATCTAAACTACTCTTTCCTTCGCTTTCCCGCCCCAGTGAGCCGCCTGTTTCTCTCCCGCAGCCGTCACGGCTCAGTGTCTAAAAACCCCATTAAGATGTTTTAGAGATCAAACATGTCATTTTGAATTCAAATATTCTTTATTTTATTTGTTTTAATCGCCATTCGCCTTCATTTGTGCCGTTGGGCGGGGCCGGGCTACTGGGGTGTATGGCCCTCGAAACGCAGCAGCACCCAATTGAATGTAATCGGAGCCGCCAAAAGTGAATTAAAAGCGCGAAAGCACTTAAAAACAAATAATAAAACACTAATAAATAAAAAGTAAATAAATAACAAACACTTCTGACGGTTTTAAGAGATGAATCGACGACAGCGGGGGGCAGTCGAAATTGGGGTGTACAGGTATACAGGTCTGGGGGTAATTTTGCGCTTTTTCTTCGGGAGAGGCTCAAATTAAACTCTCTGGAGTTCTAAAAACAATAAATTTACATTTAAAAAGAATAATAATGCAAAATAAGCGAAAACGGGAGGAAAAAAGGTTTATTTTCTCTTCCGTGTTCCCACAGCTGCCCGCTGAGAACTTTCTCGAGTGTCTGGACAGACAGCGCAAAGCCCTCATCAAGGTTGGGGAAATCGCCAAAGAGCTTTGCGGCCCTTCTTGCGGAGAAAGGAAGCCTCGGGTCTGTTATTTTAATTAATTAAATAATTAATTAATTAATTAATTAATTATGAACAATTGTTCAATTAAATGACCACTTGATTAATGAAAGTGTTGGCTAGACATCAATAATAATAGGTACAAAATGAAGGCTATAATAATAATAATAGTAAGGTTAATAAAATAATAATAATAATAATACTAGTAATAATAATAATACTATAATAATGGGAATGGTATATAATGAATGCCATTTAGTAACTGAGAACAATGGCAAATAAATGTCTAAATAATTTGCATGCGGGCCGAAAAGCTTGAAATCAATTAAAATGGAACAAATTGAATTAAATTGACTCAATTTAAATTGAATCATATCGAATTAAATTGATTCAAAAAGAATTTAACTGAATGTAATTAATCCGAATTAATCGAATAACGGAATTAAATTGAGTCAATTGAATTAACTGCATTTAATTGAAATACGGAGGAGAAGGGCGATGGAAAAAAGGGGAAATAAATAAAAACAAAAATGAAAAACAGAAAATGAATAAAGAAAATAAATGCAAACACAAGAAAGTGAACAAATAAACAAACAAAGAGAAGCTTGAAATAAAGACCTTGCAAAAGAAATAAGAGAAATAAAGAAATAAAAGAAATAAAGAAATAAAATAAATAAAAAATAAATGGGGTTTCGAAAGTGTGGGGCCCGCAGGTTGCGGTGTACGGACACAGCATGGCCGGAGCCGCTGTATCCGTCCTTTTAGGGTTTGGGAAAGAAGACCAATTAGGGTTTCTAGGATTTGACGGAAACTACATCATGCCCAACGCCACGCCTACCCTCCTAATCCCAAACGCTAAACCCTAAACCCTAAACCCTTCCCAAACCCTAAACCTCCCAAAACCCTAAACCTCCCCAAACCCTAAACCCTAAACCCTCAGAGCGCGAAAGGCCTCGGGCGACCCAAAGAGGACTTCGCCCCTTTTGCTGCTGCTGAGGGACTCAGTAAGATGTACGTGCACCTAAGTCGTTTCACACGTCCTAACTGAGTGGCTAGGGTTTAGGGTTTAGGGTTTGGGGTCTACGGAGGGGCCCAGGGCGTGGAGCGGCTCTCTGGGTGTGTCTCGGGCGGTGTAAAGTGGCAAAAAGAATAAAAGAAGTAAAAGAAATTAAAATAAATCGAAAAGGAAGCAAAAGGAACAGTGCGGTCGTTGTGGGGGATAGGTGCGTCTAGCATGCAGCAGCCACCCCACAGTGTCTGTACACCCGGCAGCCGAGGCTGGAGGCCCAAAGGGGTTTATCTGCAGCGCAAAAAACATTAATTATAATTTAATTTAAATTAAAAGTCCAATTTCCGCAATTAACTGCGTTTGCTGCGGAGAGACGGCCGTAGACACCGCCGCATGCTGACCCGTACAGACACCTGGGGGGCCGCGCGAACCGCCAGCGCGATTTGCAGTTTTTCAGGGATTTAAATCAAAGTTTTAATGAAAATAAGGAATTAAAATGGAAAAATAATAAAAATGCACTAAACTCCGCGGCCAAGGCGCACCAAACCCTAAACCCTAAACCCTAAACCCCCATGCGAGGCTGCAGGGCTGAGGCGGCCCCGCAGCAGCTCAGCGCTGTGGGTGCAGCAGCCGGGCTGGTGTAATTAAGGATTAGGGTTTAGGGTTTAGGGTTTAGGGTTTGGTTTTGTGCGAGAATCTTTTTTTTGGCGTTCTGCAATTGCTGCACTTTGCCCAGCGTCTGAAAATGGCGTAAGCGTCCACAGCAGCAGCAGCAGCAGCAGCAGCAGCAGCAGCAGGGGATAAGTAGTTTAGGGTTTGTAGTGGAAGGGGGGAGTTGGGGTTTCTTGAAATTAGCTTTTATTTAGGTGTATAGACACCGCAGCCACGCAAACAGCGGCAGCAAAGCAAATTCCGCCTTTGCTGCTGCGGCCCTCAGCAGCACTTTGTGGTGTCTGCGGGGCGGCCGTGGAGCAGCAGCAGCAGCAGCAGCAGCAGATTTGCCGCTGCTTCTGCTGCTGCAGCAACAGCGTGCGGGCTGCTGCTGCGTCGCCTTCCGCGCTGGCTCCCCGCATGCAGCCACGCCACCTGCAGCAGCAGCAGCAGCAGCAGCTGCTGCTGCTGCAGCTTGGTGCTGCTTGCTGCTGCGGCGCTTTTCGCCGCAGCGTGGGCCCCACGAGCCGCCCCTGCGTGGCGCTGCCGCAGCGGCGCAGCGGCGCCCCTGCTGCTGCTGCTGCAACGCGTGTTGCTGTGCTGCTGCTGCAGCGCGTGTTGCTGTGCTGCTGCTGCTGCTGCTGCTGCAGGAAGGAGACTTGCACGCCGGAGTGCCTGTGGGCGGAGCGGAAGCCCTTCGTTTTTCTGACAGTCTCCGTGGCTTCTCCGGAAGAACTGAAAGTGGATTTAAAAGAACAAAGTTTGGACTTCAGCTGCAGCAAAGGAGACAAGAAGTACCAGTGCCACCTCGACTTCCCGGAGCCCATCAACGTCGAGGTCCGAGGGTTTAGGGTTTAGGGTTTAGGGTTTGGGCTTTGGGGCTTCCCCGCCACACTGCTGCTGCCGCTGCGCCGCTGCCGCCGCTGCTGCACTTCCCGCCGCCGCTGCACCTCTGCTGCTGCTGCACCTCTGCAGCACCTGCTGCTGCTGCACTTCTGCTGCTGCTGCTGCTGCTGCTGCTGCTGCAGGAGAGCAAGTACAGCACGCAGCGGAACGTGCAGTTCAAGTTGGTGAAGAAGGAAGCAAAAAGGTGGCGGCGGGTTTGCGTGGAGAAGCAGCACTTCGTGAAGTGCGACTGGAGCAGATGGGTGGACTCTGAAGAAGAAGAGGGGGGCCCCCTGGGGGACTTTTCGGACTTCGACATGGACTCCATGGGCTTCGGGGGCCTCGGGGGGGGCCCCCAGGGGCCCCTCGACTTCGGGGGCCTCGGCGGCGAGGGGGGCCCCCTGGGGGCCCTCGACCAGGAGGACTCCGACGACGAGGCCGACTTGCGGGACCTCGACGCGCCCCTGGACCAGGAGGGGGCCCCTGCTGCTGCTGCTGCTGCTGCTGCTGCTG